ATATCTATTAATTCTTCACTCCAAAAGGTACAGTTTGGTGTATGTCAATCAGCTTTCACCAAAGGAAGATTTTATGAGTACACACACACACACACACACCTCACTGCAGTCTGCAAGGACTCCTAAGACATAATAAGAAACTCAGCCTCTGGCCTGCACCAGTCTTCCTCAAACTTAGCTATACTGAGCTGTGTACTATACACAACCCTTTAGACACAGGACAACCAGATTGTGGCCAATTTTGTAAAATACCTGGCATCTCTCCCACTTCCTGGAGTTTGGGCCAAGGCAACCAGGCATCTGGTGCCCACAGACCCCCTAAGCAAGCTCCTGTTAGCTCCAGCTCCAGGCCCCTGCAGAGCCTGCCTGGTTCCTGCAGCTGCGTGTAGCACCTGCCTGTTCCCTGTCCTCTGTTCTTGGCTGAGCTGGAAGCATGCCCAGTGTCTCTTTGGAGGCCATCTGCCTCTACATCTGCATCTCTACCAGTGTCTGGGCTCCTTTAGGGCAAAGCTGGATCATCTCTCTGCTTGTGGTGAGCAGCTCAGAGTCAGGTTTGAACGCTCAGTGCTCAGAACAAAGGTGCCCACCTGGCTTGTCTGCTGCTGCCTCTGTTTCCCCCACAGGTAGGGCTCTGCCCCTCCTTCTGGTTGCCTTAACTACTGTGGGGCTTTGGAGAGTCAGCAAGGTTGAGGCAAGTCCCTGGGTGCCCATGGGTAGCACATGAAGGAAGGCTGGGATGCTGGGGTGGGGCTCACGTTTACCAGATTTCTCTTTTCCTTCAAGCCTTGGCTGGCTCTGTGGAAATTGGCACTTAGAATAGCTCCTCTGGATCTGGGAGGGGACAGCACTTAGGGCCCAGCTTCCCCAGAGCAAAATAAGCTGCCTCCGTTCTCATCTTGCAAACAATTGGTGATCTGGGAAACGGTCTGTAGGAGTTCCTGAACTGTCCTTATTTGTGGTTGATAGGACTGGAAATTGCTTTACACTGGACTAGACTACAAAAACAAAACAAAACAAAACAACCAAAAAACACTTCACATAAACCTTCTGATGAGAGGAACGATGTGTGTTAGTGCATAGGTGTCATAGGCTTCTTTGTACCTCACGAAAATATCAGGCAAAGTTTCCCCCTGTAGCCCAGGGTAAGCCTCAAACTCATGGAAATGTTCCTTCCTCAGTCTTCTGAGAACTGTATGTATTACAGGTATGGGACACTATTTGCAGCTTAATTCATGGTGTTTGTATCTCTAGACATACTCAATGGCATTATGTACTGACCCCAGCAACCAGGGTGCTAATACCACTGGTTGCAGAATCCGTTATCGGTTATGTACTGGGCTCAATGTTTCTGATAGTTATAAACCAGATGCAGTGCCTAGGTGGTCATTGACTATCTCTGGTGGATATGTACTGGCCTCAGTGTCCCTGAGAGTCACATGCGGATTACTGCATCCCTTGAAGTCACACACCAGCACAGTGTATCTCTGCCTTACCCATGTCTCATCAACTTTAAATGTCTATCCTGGTCAGGCCAGGTCTCAGTTTATTAGATCGTGACGTCCCCCCCCCCCCCCGCCACATCCCTTAAAAAAGGCTCAGAGGCCTTTGAGGCCTTTTATCAAATGCTAAATTCTGTTCCACATGCTGGCCTTCTCTAAGCTGCCAATGCTTGAGCCCCTAGTCACACCTTATCATGATCTACCAGCTTCTTCATCTGCTTTGTTTACTGATCTGTCCCCCAGCCCCTGGGGCAGTGTCTAGAACAAGGTGGAGTCTCAGGAAGTACTGAGACTCAAAACTGCCCTGCACTCTCTGTGGTCATATGAGATTTTTCACTATATTCTGTCTTTGACACCTATTTAGATTGAGCTGTATGACTTTTTCGCTTTAGAGACAACGTGGTTTCCCTGGAAGGCTTTGCTTCTTTCTTCCCCATTGACAGACACTCAGCACAACAGTGATTTAAAAAGAGTCTGGAAGATTCTGGCAGCACCAGCCTCAATGAACCACGGTTCTTCCAAAGGATTTCCTAAGGGCCTGTTCTTGGTCTACCCTTAGAGGCTACTGTCTAGTGGGAATATCCTCAGGGTGCCTAAATATTGCTTGCTGAGGGCAAGCAATATTTACAGGGGCAATCCACCCTTCATTGTGGATGTGTTGTGCCCGTTTCACGAATACCTAAAGACCATCAAGGAGCCAATCCTGATGCAATCGAACTAGGGTCTTTCTTTAGTCAAGCTGGAGCTTGGGCCACAGGGTAGTCACTGACACAGCAGGACACGAGGGTGCCTCCCTGAGCCCAGATTCAAGCAAGCATTTATAGAGGCAAGCAAACAAGCAAGGGGTTTCTAGCCTGGCACACATCTGATTGGGGGGCTATTATGGAATTTGTTGCCCTTTAAAATGATTGGCTGGTGCTGTGAGTGGTGTTTATGAAACATAAACTTTCATAAGTAAATATCTTTAGATACAACTGTAACTTCTGCTTTCCTCCTGATTGGTGGTTGTTAGGGAGTGACCTGGAGACCAGTGCTAGGTGCAGGCTTATTGGTTAACTCGAATTCAACCTTAGGCCAGGTTCTCTAAAATGGAGCCCGAATCCAAGATGGAGTTGGTCTGGTTTTTCAGATGCAGGTTCCTAAGTTCTCCTCAGTGTTAGCAAGCAGGGCTCCTCCATGGTTGCTGCCTCAGTTCCAGCCTCGGCTTCCTCCCGTGGTGGTCTGTGAAACGCTTTCCTTCTCAAGCTGCCTTTGGTTAGAACACGCCTTGTCTGCCCTTGTTTCCTGCAGCTACCCCACCCCAGCTCTCTGCTTCTCCCCAGAAGCCTTCACTCAGCCTGCCAAAAAGTGACCTAATTGTCAACCGTGTCTTGCTGAGGAAACAACCTTCAAGTGCCTTCCTTGGTGAGGAGGGGTTGATTTCCATCACTCTCAGCCTCCTCCCTCCTTCCCTTCTGCCTCTGTTTTTGCAGCTAGGGATCAAGCCGGCAGCCTCACGTGTAACCATACATACTATGTAAGCACCCTGCTATGGAACTGTGTAAGTACTGTACCACTGGGCTATGTAAGCACCCTACTATGGAACTGTGTAAGTACTGTACCACTGGGCTATGTAAGCACCCTACTAGGGAACTGTGTAAGTACCACTGGGCTATGTAAGCACTTCACCATTGAGTGTTATACTCCTGGTTCTCAAACTATTTTAAACAATGCATCAGTAGTCTTTAGAAGACCTCCTTTCCCCTACTGCTGCTGTGCATGCTGCTCAGGCTTGGTTAGTTTTTTTGTCAACTTGATACAAGCTAGAGTAATCTTAGGAAGAGGAACATCAACGGAGAAACTGCCCCTCCCCCATCACATCACCTGTGGGCAAGACTGCTCAGTGTTTTCTGAGTTAAGGACTGGTGTGGGGGGGCCCAGCTCACTGCAGGGGTGCCACCCCTGGGTAGGTGGTCTTGGGCAGTGTGAGCAAACTATGAGCCAGTAGCAAAGTCTCTCCGTGGTCTCTGCTTCAGGTCCTGCCTTGCCTCTTCCAATGACCGACTGTGACCAGACTTGTAAGCCAAAGAAGCGCTTTCCTTCCCAAGCTGCTTTTGGTCATGGCGTCTTTACTGAAGTGACGGGAACCTAAATAAGACACTCCCTGTCTGCTTGCCTGTTTTCTTGCAGCCCCTCTCCGTCTTCCCATAGCAGGCTTCACTCGGAAATTTAGCTGGGGTGGGTGGGGTGGGAGGAGAGCGTCCCTGCCCTTGCTGCTAGGTGGGGGCAATGCCTACAACTGAACAGAGTTTCCACGCTGTATGCAGATCCACCAGAACCCCGACTGAGAAGATGCCTCAGGCCATCACCTGCGTGCAAGTCTGTAGAGCATTTCCTTAATGGTGGATGCCGGAGGGCTCAGCTCACTGGGGGTCTGACGTAGGCAATGGGCTTGAATCCTTTCCAGCTGTGTGGAGAATCCCTGCTCTGCACCTGGGGACTTTCTCTGTTTCCCTCCACCTGGGCCACCCAGTCCTTGGTCTGTGGCCATCTCTGACGGCGGGCTGGGCTCAGGCCAGAGGCCCACAGTGTTTTTTCAGGTATGTTCCTCCTCGCTGGGTTTGTGGGTCTTTTCCTAGACTCACAAGGGACTAGAGACTGGAAGGGGAAGAGGGGGAGGAGAAAAAGGAGGGGGAGGGAAGGGGAAGAGGAGGAGGAGCGGCAGGCAGGCGGGCACCGGGACCTTGGAGGGAGGAAGGGAGGTGTAGGGGATGGAGTGGGCCGAGGGGAGGTGGAGGGAGAAGGGAAATGACCGAAGGAGAGGTAGAAATAAATGCCGGTGGAGTAGAGGAGAACGGACACAGAGTTGCACTTCTTGTAGCTGCTGGGCCTCCTGAAACCTAACCACCGGGCAGGAGGAGCCTCGGGGCACTGCCCTCCCAGTGGAGGGCACTTCGGGAATGCAGCCGCTCCCACCGCCTGTGCCAGGCCCTCTGGCTCTGCTGGATACCGCAGGTTAGCTAAGGGCATCATTGGTATCTCCGCCGCTGGCAGGCAATTTGGGGGCCCGGGAGCTGGGTTACAAGTCTCTAGCAGATCTAAGAGGAGGAACTGCCTGCACAGCTCAGGACTCTGGGCATAGGGTCCCCTTTGGGGTTTGGAGCTGGGACTCGGGTCTGGTTTCATGTGGCACAGGCTATCCATTGGTGCTCCATCCTTTTCCACACCAGTCTACCCACTGTTCCCTTCTGTTTTCTATCCCCGAATGTTACCGGTTTTTTGTTAACAGACCCAAATCCTTTTAAGCAGTTAAGTCCCAGACCAACACCTTTCCAGTCCAATTGCATTTATTTCAGTTTCTAAACTTATCCGGGAAATGTTTGAAAGAACCAGGGAGCGCTTCCTGCCTGGGGGTGGGGGGAAGGGGGTCGGAAAGGTGCCCAGAGATTTTAGGGTTGTTGGAGCGAGCTAGGGCTTCCACCTGCCTCACACCCCAGACCCTCCATCTCTACACAGCTGAAAGCCAAGTCTGCCTGGGAAAACAGGAAACCTGGTGCAGGCACTGACTCCAGCCGCTTAGCATGGGTGCTCTTCTGGGAGGTAGCCTGACACTGGAAGGATGCCGGACATTGTTCCTGGAGGGCAGAGGGTGGGGGAGATTTACATGGTGACCTTCTGCTATGGGATTAAGGGATTAGGTCAGACTGGGGTGTGGGGGAGTCTCGAGGATCGTTTCAGAACCTCGGTGATCCTTGGGAACCCTGGTGATAGCTTCCAACCTTCTTGGAGACACTTTTGGGAAGTCTGATTGGTTAGCGCTGTTAAATAAAAATAATAAGGAATCTGGCTTCTTTCTGAGAGAGTGCTGTACGTCCTCCTCTGTAAGGCCAGCTGCTCTGCGGTCATCCATTCATTCTCCAGTAAGCAGCTAGCTAGTGCTGAACGGCAGCTGTTATATTACTAGGTGCCACTGCTGTTAAGTGAGGGTGACTTGGTTTACACTTGCTTCTGAATTTTCTTTTGATAAGGAACTCCAGACTTTGAAATGGTTTGTGAGAGGTGTTTGTTTTTGTTTGTTTTTTATTAAGACAGAGTCTTAAAAGCAACTGAAGGTCTGTGTGGCTCCAGGATCTGACCATTTTCTATTGATGCTTCTTTGCTTACAGCTTGGGGTGGTGTTATATAAAATCAGAACCTGGTGACTGAGCAGTGCCTAGCTTTGCCTCTACTACAGGATCTGCCCTCAAGGGATCTTCTAGTCTGGTCTCAAACCCCCCCCAGGCTCAAATGACCCTTCTACCTCAGCATCCTCAGTACCCAAGATTATAGACCCAGGCTACCATACTTGACCCAGAGGATCGACCTCACTGGGGGATTTCAGGCCCTGTAGATAGCAAGGTCATAAAGATGAACCTTGCTGGGTCTTGTCTAGGCTGGGCTATCTCTTCCCATGGTCCAGCACAGAGGGCAGTCTGTTGTCCATCAGTGCCTGCACCTTCTGGGCTAGCCAAGTGGAACTACAAGGACCTTGGGTCAGCAGTCCCACCAAGACAGGCAGAGGCTTGGGAAGGAGGATAACATTTGAAAATGAGGGGTGAGGTGGGGGTGGGTGGGCAGGAAGTAACTGGGTGGTATCCTGAGGTGTGTGGGGAGGGCATACCTGCAACTGAATGGACAGGAGCCCTAAACAGTTGAGAGAGTCCCTCTCAGCTGGCTCAGTGGCACCCTCAGAACAGTCCTATGGTTTTTAAATGAGGCTGGCTCTCATAGATGGGCTCTGAGGACCTTCGAATAGACTCAGTCTATCAGGGTACTGTCTTTGGGCTCTCTGCCCAGGTGAAGTCTTACTACTTACACCAGGTGCTGTCTCCTCCCAGTGTGATCTGGACACTGGCACCCTGAAGTGAGAGGCATGGCGCTGCTTGGCCTTTTTCCTCCTCGTGGGCATGAGCTTGGTCATCTCCCACAGTAACTGGTAGCAGTGGGTTAATTAGGATCAGGACAGTAGCATCTTGATGGGATAAGGGACAGAGGAGATGGTGCAGTAACTGTCTGGATTTCTGTCATATGCGAAATGCCGTTTGTCTCTAAAACCTTACGTGGAAATGCTTTTATCTGGAGATTTCAGACACCTCTGTCTTCTTGTCTTGGGTTGTTTTTTACTTCCTTATTTTTATGCCATACTGAATATTCAGATGTATTTATGAGAGACGCTTTGGGTAGGGCTCGCCTTTTCCCTGTATTTCTGGTTGGAGTCTATTAACTCCAGTCCAAGTAGTCAGAAAGGGATGCTTACCTGCCCTGTCCAGCAACTGTGCAACTTTCCAGACCCTGACTTAACCTGGGAACTGTGGTCAGAGATGCTGGCAGCCTGACCTCGCTCATGTCTCTGGGGTTTGATTATGGAATATCCTAGGGGAAAGTCAGACTAAGGAAAGGACCAGGAAGGGACGAACGGCTGTCAGGGATATAAATGGGCGAAGATATAATTTCAAGGGCTTGACTTTTAGCTAACTGTTTTTGCAGGTTAGAAGCCATAGCTCTTTAACAGTGCTAAGTGCCACCAGCCTAGGATGTCATGCTAGTAAGCCAACAGAGAGGACATGGTTCAGGGTACTGTGAGCTAGTGTCACCTGAGGCGACAAATGTTTCAGCAGAAAGGTCCACCCAGATCTCAGCCATGCTGGGTCCTTATTAGTTTTTTGGAATGTAATTGGTATGTGCACTTAGGTAAATGGAGAAAGAGAAACCCTTTAGGGGGAGAAAGCACTTACCTGCTTTACTCCAGGCTGGTTACTACCTGCTATTCCAGGATGTGTTTGCTTAGTACCTCTGCAGACACTCACTGTGAGGTAAGACCAGATGATACCTAGGCCCATCCTACTGCAGGTAGCCCCAGCCTCCTTGACTTGCTCCTGAGGCCGTGAGTGTGTGCTCCTGCTAGGGCTGTGTGCACTGTGGAGAGAAGCAAGGGGCTGCTCCAAGGCCTTCCATGTTCTGTCAAGGGTGCTCTGTGCCCTGTCCCTGGTGCTTTCTAAGAAAGGGTGTTGCCTTTGGCTCCTGCTGGCCTGCTTCACATCTCACAGCCCTGAGCTATCCAGGATCGATTCCATTCAGTTTGCCTCACCTCCCTTAAATTTATACAGCGGTTGTGGACACAGGAGAAAGTGGAATTGGGGGTTCTCTCTCTGCTCATCCCGCTGCAGTAGCCTCCCCAGCTCCCTGTTCTTCAGTCCCCAGGCTACCCACTTACCACCCACCAACCTCAGGGCTTTCTCAGGACCAGCTGCATCCACTCCCCAAATGCCTCAGGGCCTCGTTTCCTGGATGGTGTTCTCATACCCCATCCTGGATCCTCCTTGTCCCCTGGCCCTCTGGGATGTGGCACTTTATAAAGCCTATGCGTACCATAGCTCATCTTATGTCTGGTGGCCTCTTATGCCAAGACCAGAAGCTCCCAGTTGGGTAAGGGATCACCTTGCCTTCATGGCAGTGACTCTGGGGTCTGAAGGCATCTGCACACAATGAAAACTCAAGTGGGGGATGGGAACCTGGGGCATGAATGAGAGTGAGGAGGGAAAGCAGAGGGGTGAGCAGGAGAGCAAATGCATGTGGTGTTTCTGCAGCTGACATCGAAGTAAGCCCATAGGGTGAGCTGAGGCAGGTACAAGAGTCCTGTGGACTCTGGACATGAACCATCCTCTCAGGCAAAAGACTGGGGAATCGGAGTGGGCTGGGGAGCATGAATCCGTATCTGAGGCCAGGACTTGCAAAGTTCCATCTTCTTCCAACCCTGGGAGCCAGCGATGGCTGTGTCAGGGAGTGGGTAGATCTGGCCTCTCTGTGGGGATGAAGGGTAGTTTAGGAGGAGATTCTCAGGAGAAACCTGTCGGTTCTGGTCTGGAGAAGGGCGAGGAGGCTGGACAGGGACGAGTAGGACCTCTGGAAACAGGTCTTGCTCCTGGCGGTGTGCCCTTGCTGGGTCAGATAAAAATGGCTTTCTCGGGTCAGCTGAATCATGTGGACTGTGAGAAGCCATCTGTGGTGCTTTTAAAATTTATGTCTTGAGTTTGTAACTACCCTTTTCTCGGGTGTCATAACCTTGACTCATGTTAAACTTCACTGGTGGGATCAAAGGCGTGTGAAGTCTTCCAATGAGAGCCTAGCAGACCATGAAGATCCGTGCTAGCAGGCTACTGGCCACTTTATTTATTTTTTGAGACAGGGTTTCTCTGTGTAGCCCTGGCTGTCCTGAAACTCACCCTGTAGACCAGGCTGGCCTTGTCTCTCAGATATCCACCTGCCTCTGCCTCTTGAGTGCTGAAACTAAAGGCGCACTCCACCACGCCCAGCTCCAGTGACCATTTGAAAGGAGGTATACTTGGATAGACAGGATGCTTCCCGGTGGTGCAGGTACTGTGCTGTGTGGACACACATATAAGCACACGGGAACACACATACTTGCATGTGTGTACACACTCACAAACCGTTGACTTGTAGGACTCTGGAGGAGGATGAGGCCACCACACTTTTCTCTCACTCCGCTTGTGTTTGCAGTGATGTAGTCAGATGCTTGACTGGATCAGAGTTGAATATGCCTTCTCACCTGGCTTTGGCCATAGCCTGTGTTTCAGGTGTGGGTGTGTAGTCACTAGGGGAGGCAGGTGGCAGTCGATGGAAAAGCTGTTCTATCCTTCCTGGACCATCAGGGAAGAGTCAGGCTCAAGGAGGGTACAGCGCAGGGTGGAGCCCTTTCCTGCGAGAGCTGCACAGCTCCTGGAGTTTGGCTGCATAGAGCAGGCTGTCCAGAGGAGTGCTTTATGGCGCTTGGGTTTGTCTGATGAAGGCTGGAGAAGGATACTTAGTGGTATTTCTTCTCATGTTCTCTACCTGTGACTTCATTCCAGAGTCTCATATTCCAAATCAGCTTCAGGGCCAAGCTATTGTACTTGTATCTCAGGCAGGAGGTCAAGCTGCAGCTCCCTGAAATGCTCCTGAGTCCTGAGTACAGCTGAGCTGTAGCCTCTACAGAATTCAATCTCACAGCCTGAGGCTGTAGATGCAAACTTCTGGTCAGGTGGTTAGGTCTATACCCAGAAGCCCCAAAAGCTGACAAAAGAGGCCCAACATCTGGGACACAGCTGCCCCTGACGCTTGTGGCACCCATATGCCTCCTCTTTACCCTGTGAAACCCTTGGACTCGAGATGAAGAAGAGCCACTCTCCAGCCTCAGGCAGTGACCCCTAGCTATGCTCAGGACCATCAAGGAGGAAAGTATGGGCAGGCTACTCACCTGCCTAGTCCAGCCTGGGCCTGGTTTTCCCTGTGTTGGGAGAGGACAGGCCTGGAGCTCACAGGATTCCAAATGATTGGGCTTGGAGCATAGTGGGTGGGAAATCAGCCCCCAGCTCACCAGTACCCTTCTTTTCCTCATAGAGGGCTTCACAAGGAGAAAGAAGATCTCTCTGTGGTTTGTGGGCGCTCTGCTGCTGGTGTCCACCCTCATCCTGACCATTGGCCTTGCTGTTACCACCAGGACAGAGAATGTGACTGTGGGCGGCTACTACCCAGGGATTATTGTGAGTCAAAGGCCTATGGGGGACTGGGCAGGATGTTCAGTGATCTGTGTGGACAGATATACCACCTGCTAATCTACAATGCTGGAAACTTCCACTGGGGGTAGGGGTACATAGTCCTAGGAAAAATGACCCCAGCCTGATGCCTGGTATCTGAGAGAGTATCCAGCTAAGAAAGAAGGCTGAGGGCTACTGGTTAGAGGGCCCTAAGGTAGGCTTGCACCATGTTGGCAGGCCAGCGTCATCATAGGCCCCCTGGAGGTAGACCAGGCAGGAGAGGGGTGTGACTTGGAGATGGTAGGAGAGTTCAGGGCCACATAAGGTTACACAGTAAAGGTGGGGTGGGCCTGAAGCTGAGACTCTCAAGAGATGGTAACACATTCTCCCCAGATCCCTGAAGGACCAACCCTGCAGCCCTTGGACATTAATAAATACAGCAGCCCCAGCAGAATTCCTGGCAGGTGGGTTGGTGGCTTTGAGAGCCCTATGGGAGGTCCTGGGGATTGAATTAGGTCATCAGGCTTGCCAGCTCAAGAGCCATTATTAACTGTGATGGGTCAGTATGATGCTAACCAAACATCTCTCTCTCGTTCTTCCTCTCACCTCAGCTGGGCTTTGGGTCCTTCCTGGGGATCATTGGTATTCACCTGGTGGAGAATAGAAGACAAATGGTAAGAAGACACATCTCTCTTCCAAATGGGCTTGTGGGGAGTGTTAGTCCCTCAATATAGGATGCTACAGTCATAGAAAGGGTTTCCTCTCCACGTTCGCCTGAAACCCTTGGACCTATATACTATAAAACCCAAGACTCAGGGCCTAATTGGTGTCATTCACAGCTTGGTCAAAACGCATACCACACAAATGATCAGAGAGAGGTAGAGATGAAAACAGCAGGGGATTCGGTGTCAGATGTTAGAAACATAGTTACTGTTCGATTGCATGAACGAGACACAGTAACCAAGGCAGCTTATAAAAGAAACATTTGATTGGTGACTTGCTTACAGTTTTAGAGGTTGAGTCCATGATCTCCATGGTAGAACAGGGCAGCAGACCCAGGCAGGCATGGTGCTGGAGA